GGTATTTGCAATGCATAAGTTGTTAGTTTTGCAAAATTCTATCTTGTGATCTCCAGTGTCATTTCTATCACCAAGGCCATATTTTCCACCTACTGATAATTCTTCTTTGTTTCCAACTTTGTGTTCCAATCACCAATAATAATCAACACATCTCGATTGCATGTTTGGTCAATTTCAGACTGCAGAAGTTGGTAAAAATCTTCAATTTCCCCGAGTTTGGCTTGGGTGGTTGGTGCATACATTTGATAATAGTAGTATTAACTGGTCTTCTTTGTAGGCATATGGATATTATCTTATCACTGATAGCATTGTACTTCAGGACAGATCTTGAAATGTTCTTTGTGATGAATGATGCGTCATTCCTCTTCAATTTATCATTCCCGACATAGTAGATCAGATGGTTGTCTGATTCAAAATGGCCCCAAACAGTCCATTTCAGCTCACTAATGCCTAGGATATCAGTCTTTATGCATTCCATTTGGTTTTTGACAGCTTCCTTTTAGCTGCTGCCACCAGGCCATGGGCTCTTGGCCTGGGCCCTTGTTTTCAGCCTGGCCTCTGCCTTGCTCAGGCAACTGTTACAAAGCTCTTTAGCTTTGCCAACAAGTGTCAGCAGACACCCCACTCTGCCAGCATGCTTTCTGTCTGAAGGCATTCAGGTCTGTCACCCTGTGAGGCAGCACACCCACAATCACCCACAATGACCACCTTGCTACAGAGGCCCACCACACCACCTTGCACAGGTCTCCTGGTTCTGTTACTGTCATTTCTCTGCTGCTGGACTGTGCTGTGTTTGCTACTGCTTCTCACTGTCTTCTCATTATCTCTAACTCTATCTCTAGAGTTAGAGCTCTCTTTGTGTCTCCTGGATCTAGGAGGTTCTCAGCACAGGCACCGTGGGCTCAGAAGAGGTGCTCCACTCTTGGCTTTTCTTGATGGTAGTGAGGTCCTCTCTCCACCTCTGGGATTGCCTATGTTAAAGCCCAGCACAATTGCAAAACTAACAAGTCCATTCGTTGGATTCCATACACCTTATTTGCATGATCCCACCCCTTCAAGGGTTCCATGCATCATATGTGTGATATTAACAAGCTCTCCAGTCCCCTTGGTTGGCCACCAGCACTTTATTTGCATGCTGTTGTTAGGTGCCATCAAGAAATTGCCCAGGCCTGCACCATGCTTATAATCATTGCTGTCTTTGGGCCCTTTGTTGCAGTCACTGTGTCAATCCATCTTGTTGACAATCTTCCTCTTTTTCACTGACCCTCTTCAATACCCAGTGTGATGTCCTCCTTCAGGGACTGATCCCTCCTGATAACATGTTCAAGGTATATAAGATGAAGTCTCACCATCCTCCCTTCTGGAAATTATTATAGCTCTGCATCTTCCAAGATAGGTTTGTTTGTTCTTCTGGCAATTTAAGGTATATTCAATATGTTCCTTATTGATTGTCCAGCTTTCATATGTGATTGAAAATGCCATGGCTTGAGTCTTGCATACCATAGTCTTCAAGTGACATCTTTGCTTTTTAACATTATGCCTTTTGCAGCAGATTTGCCCAATGCAATATTGTTTGATTTCTTGACTGCTGCTTCTATGGGTGTTGATGTTGGATCCAAGAAAAATGAAATCCTTGACAACTTCAATCATTTCTCAGTTTATCATGATGATGCTTATTGGTCTAGTTTTTTTTTTTTTTTTCTTGATGTTGAGGTGTAATCCATTCTGAAGACTGTAGTCTTTGATCTTCATCACTAAGTGCTTCAAGTCATCTTCACTTTCAGCAAGCAAAGTTGTGTCATCTGCATATCACAGGTTGTTAATGAGTCTTCCTCTAATCCTGATACTGCATTCTTCTTCATATAGCCCAGTTTCTTGGATTATTTCCCCAGCATACAGATTGAATAAGGATACAACCCTTACATGTACCCTTCCTGATTGTAGATCATGAAGTATCCCCTTGTTCTGTTTGAACAACAGCCTCTTGGCCTATCTTCAAGTTCCACATGAACCCAATAAAGTGTTCTGGAATTCCCATTCTTTGTAACGTTATCCATAATTTGTTATGAGCCGTGCATTTGAGAGCCTTCTCCTCATCAGTATAACACAGGCAAACATCTTCATGGTTATGTTTCTGCTTTCAGCCAAGATCCATCTGACATTAGTAATGATATCCCTTGTTTCACATCCTATTCTGAATTTGCCTTCAATTTCTGGCAGTTGCCTGTCAATATACTTTAGTAACCATTTTTAAATCACCTTCAGCAAAACTTTGCCTGTGATATTAATGATATTGTTTGATAATTTCTTCATTCTGCTGGATCACTTTTCTTTGGAATGGGCACAAATATGGACCTATTGCAGTCAATTGGCAAGTAGCTGTCTTCCAAATTTCTTGGTACAGATGAATGAGCACTTCCAGCATTGCATCTGCTTGTTGAAACATCTCAATTGTTATTTTGCCAACTTCTGAAGCCTTGTTTTTCGCCAATGGATTCAGTGCAACTTGGATTTCTTCCTTCAATTTGATTAGTTCTTGATCACATGCTACTTCCTGATATGGCTGAGCATCAGCTAATTCTTTTTGGTACAGTGACTCTGTGTATTCTTTCCATCTTCTTCTGAGGCTTACTGCGTCATTCAATATTTTTCCCATAGCGTCCTTAAATATTGCAACTCGAAGCTTGAATTTTTTCTTCAGTTGTTTCAGCTTGAGAAATGCCAAGTGTGTTCTTCCCTGTTGATTTTCTAACTCCAGGTTGCTGCACATTTCATTATAATACTTTGTCTTCTTGAGCTGCCCTCTCTGTTCAGATCTTTTACTTTATCATTTCTTCCATTTGCTTTCACTACTCTCTGTTCAAGGAGCTCTGGTAGCATAGTGGCTAAGTCACTTGCCTGCTAACCAGACGGCTGGCAGTTCAAACCCACCAGCCACTCCTCGGAAGGAAGGTTGGGCAATCCTACTTCCGTAGTGATACTGCCTCGGAAACCCAAGGAGGGGTCGCTATGAGTCGGGGCCAACTCGACGGCACATAACAACAACAACAACAACTCTCTGTTCAAGAGCAAGTTTCAGAGTCTCTTCTGACATCCAGTTAGGTGTTTTATTTCTTTCCTGTCTTTTGAATGACTTTTCTTTCCTCATGTATCATGTCCTTGATGCCATACCACCTACTTATATGTCATTGGTGTTGGGTGCCATCAAGTTGGTTCTGACTCACAGCAACCCTGCAGACAACAGAACGCAACACTGTCCAGGCCTGCACCGTCATCCCACCAGAGCTCCTTTATATGTGCATTTTTACCAATACTATCTATTTTGTTTTTATAACCATCTTTTGCAGCAGATTTGCCCAATGCAATATGTTGTTTCATTTATTGACTGCTCCTTCCATAGGCATTGATTGTGAATCCAAGTAAAATGAAATACTTGATGACTTCAACATTTATTATGATGTTGCTTATTGGTCCAGTTGCATAATGCTATTTGCACTGTTGTTGTTGTTAGATGGCGGCAAGTTGTCTCTGACTCAGAGTGACCCCATGTACAGCAGAACAAAACATTGCCCAATCCTGTGCCATCCTTGCAATCCTTGTTATACCTGGTGGCATAGTGCCTAAGGCACTTGACTGCTAACCAGAAGGCTGGCGGTTCAAACCCACCAGCCACTCCCCTTAAGGAAGATGGGGCAATCTACTTCCATAGTGATACTGCCTCGGAAACCCAAGGAGGGGTCACTATGAGTCGGGTCTGACTCGATGGCACACAACAACAACAATCATGGCAACCACTGTGTCAATCCATCTCATTGAGGACCTTCCATTCCTTCTCTTGGGAATGGTTCACTCTGACAACATGACCAAAGTAGGTGAAACGAAGTCTGGCCATTCTCACTTCCAAGGAGCATTCCAATTACACTTCCAGGACAGATTTGTTAGCAGTCTGTGGTACTTTCGGTATTCTCCACCAACACCACAACTCAAAAGCATCAACTCTTCTTCAGTCTTCCTTTTTCATTGTCCAGCTCTCACATGCATATGAGGCAATTGAAAATATCATGGCTTTGGTTAGGAGTACCTTAACCTTCAAAGGAGACATCTTTGCTCTTCATCACTTGAATGAGGTCTTTTCCAACAGATTTGCCCAGTGCAGTATGTTGTCTGATGTCTTGACTGCTGCTTCCATTGCTGTTGATTGTGGGACCAAGTAATATGAAGTCCTTAACAACTACAATATTTTCTTCATTTATTGGGATGCTCCTTATTGGTCCAGTTGTGAGGGTTTTTATTTTCTCTATGTTGAGTGTAATCCATACTGCAGACTGAAGTCTTTAATCTTCATCAGTAAGTGGTTCAAGTTATCTTCACTTTCAGCAAGCAAGGTGTGTCATCTGTATATCACAGGTTGTTAACGAATCTTCCTCCAATCCTGATGCCACATTCTTCTTTGTATAGTCCAGCTTCTTGGATTATTTGTTCAGCACACAGATTGAATAAGTACAGTGAAAGGATACAACCCTGACACACTCCCTTCCTGATTTTGAACCATGTTGTATCCCCTTGTTCTGCTCCAATGACTGCCTCCTGGTCTATGTACAGGTTCCTTATGAGCATGATTACGTTTTTGGGAATTCCCATTTTTCTCAATGTTATCCATAATTTGTTATGATCCACACAATCAAATGCTTTTGCATAGTCAATAAAACACAAGTAAACATCTTCCTGCTGCTTTCAGCCAAGATCCATCTGACATCAGCAATGATATCCCTTGTTCCACATCCTCTTCTGAATCCAGGTTGCATTTCTGGAAGTTCTCTGTCAATATACTGCTGCAACCATTTTTGAATTGTCTTCAGTAAGATTTTACTTGCATGTGATACTAATGATATTATTCGATAATTTCCACATTCTGTGGGATCACTTTTCTTTGCAATGGCTACAGATATGGATCTCTTCCAGTCAGTTGGCCAGGTAGCTGTCTTCCAAATCTCTTGGCATAGCTGAGTGAGTGTCTCCAGTGGGGCATCCCACTGTTTGTTAAAACATCTCAATGGATATTCCATCAATTCCTGCAGCCTTGTTTTTCGCCAAGTCCTTCAGTGTAGCTTTGACTTCTTCTTTCAGTGCCATTGGTTCTTGGTCATATGCCACCTCCTGAAGTGGATGAACATTGACCAATTCTTTTTGGTACAGTGATTCTGTGTATTCCTTCCATTATCTTTTGATGTTTCCTGTATCATTCAATATTTTGCCCAAAGAATATTTCAGTATTGTAACTTGAGGCTTGAATTTTTTCTTCAGTTCTTTCATCTTGAGAAATGCCAAGCATGTTCTTCCCTTTTGGTTTTCTAACTCCATGTTTTTGGAGATTTCATTATAATAATTGACTTTGTTTTCTCAAGCTATTCTTTGAAATCTTCTGTTCAGCTCTTTTATCTTGTCATTTCTTCCATTTGCTTTAGCTATTTTCCATTCAAGGGCAAGTTTCAGAGTCTGTTCTGACATCCATTGTGGTGTTTTCCTCCTTTCCTGTCTTTTCAATGACCTTTTGCTTTTTTCATGGATGATATTCTTGATGTCATCCCACAATTCCTCTGGTTTTCAGTCATTGCTGTTCAATGCATCAAATCTATCCTTTGTTGTTGTTGTTATGTGCCCTCGAGTTGGACTCAACTCATAGCGACCCCTCCTTGGGTTTCCAAGGCAGTATCACTATGGAAGTAGATTGCCCCATCTTCCTTCCAAGGAGTGGCTGGTGGATTTGAACCTCCAGCCTTCCAGTTAGCAGTTAAGATGGTCTCTAAATTCAGGAGGGATATAATCAAGGTCATATTTCAGCTCTTGTGGACTTGTTTGCATAGCCCCACTCAATAATCCCTACCACAGGACCATGGCTAGAAGGGCCGTATAAAGTAATTCACTACACCACAACTTGTCATTGAGTCGACTCTGACTCAAGGCAACCCCATGTGTGTCAGCATATAACTGCGCTTCATAGGATTTTCAAGGACTGACTTTTCACAAGTAGATCACCAGGTCTTTCTTCCAAGGCACCTCTGGGTGTACTTGACCCTCCAGTCTTTTGGTTAGTGGCTAAGTGTGGTCACCATTTGCACCACCCAGGTACTCCCTGAGATGCAGAGTCTAGAAGAGAATGAACTGTCTGCTAGGATGGTCTATGCCTGAATCACTGCCCTGGATTATAACTTTTGGGCCACCCTCTGCTTGTCTTTGTAGATCAACACCATCCTCCTCACCTGGACGTTGTGGATCCTGAGGCAGAAGCTTTCCGGCGTCAGTGCTGAAATCTCGACACTCAAAGACAATAGGTGTGGCCCTTCCTTCCTTCCCTCCTCTTTTCTAGCTTTTTCTTTCTTCCCACAAATGTTTTTTGGGTGCCTTTTCTATGTCTGGTCCTGTACCCAAGGCAGAGGGGTGGGGACAGTGAGTTCTGTTCAGAATAACACAGTGTCTAGAGCTGGAGTCAGACTGAGACTAAAACCCAGCTCTGCCACTTACTAGCTGTGTGACCTTACTCAAGTTACATAACCTCTCTGAGTGGCAGCTTCCTCATCTGTTCTTGTTTGTTGTTAGGTGCTGTTGAGTCTATTTGAACTCATGGTAACAGACTAAAGCTGACCGGTAGGGCTTTCCAGGCTGTGATCTTTACAGGAGCAGATTGCTAGGTCTTCTTCCCTTAGAACCAGCCATAGCGTGGGTTCAAACTGCTAACCTCTCAGCTTAGCAGCTGAGCAAGCACCTCTACCATTGCAGCACCAGGACCCATCTATAATACAAAAACCCCAGGTGGCATCAGTCGCCTGTGACTCACAGAGACCCCATGTGTGTTGGAGCAGAACTGGGCTCCACAGGGTTTCCAATGCCTGATTTTAGAAACAGATCACCAGGCCTTTCTTCCGAGGCTCCTCCAGGTGGATTCTAACTGCCCACATTTCTATCAGGAGCCAAGTGCTTAACCATTTACACCATCCAACGACTCCCTTCCTCATTTACAGAATGAGTATATTAATATTGCCCCCTTTATGAGGCATATGAAGTATTTAGCACAGTTGCTAGGAACAGTGACTATCCTGTATGTTGCAATTGTTAAAGCATTTCCCAATTTCTCTCCTGTGCATGTTTATATGTGCATATTGTTGTTGTTAGGCACCGCTGAGCCATCTCTGACTTATAGTGACCCCATGCCAGCCTCACAGTCCTTGCTAGAGCTGAGCCCATCCTTGTAGCTACTGTGTCAGTCTATGTCGTCGAAGGCCTTCCCCTCTTTCATTGACCCTCCACTTTACCAAGCATGACATCCTTCTCCAGGGAATGGTCCTTTCTGACAGCATGACCATAGTTGTAGTTAAGTGCCACCATGCCAATTCCAACTTATAGAGACCCTGTGTGTCATCTTTGTGGAAGCAAATTGTCAGGGCTTTCTTCCACAGAGCTGCTGGTTGTGTTGGAACCACCAACCGTTTGGTTAGCAGCTGGGCACTTAACGATTGCACTATCAGGGCTCCTTTATATATGCATATTTACCAGAAAAAAGAATCATACTATCTGTTTTGTTTTTTAACTGTGTTTTTCCCATTAAATAACATGTCATGAATATTTTCCCCCTTAAATTCAATTTTTTTTAACAATATCTTTTTAAAAATTAGTGTTTGCATAGCATTTCAGTATAAGGATACAGGATAACTTATTTGAACCATCTCTTATCCATAGATATTTAATTTGTTCCTGCTTCATTTTTGTTTTTGTAAAAGTGGCATGGAAGTGGGATCTGACCTCCTCTAGCTTCACAAGGAGGCAGAAGGGTCAAGATCAACAGCCCAAGGCTAATCCTTACAAGGCGCTGGTCAGACACACCTGCAACCCTCTGACCTTTCTACCAATTCTGACACTAAGCTGCCTTCCCACAGAACTTTCTGGTTTTCAGCTAGGCTTGATAATTTGTTGCAATGGCCACATGGAACTCGCAGACACTACTCACATTTATGGGGCTTATTAGGGGAGTAACAGATTACAATTCAGGATCAGAAGTACTAAGGATACAGGTTTCTTTCTTTCTTTTTGTTTTTTTAATCAAGACAGCCTCCCCTCAGCCA